TATATACATATATATATCTATACATATATATATATATACATATATATATATATACACATATATGTATATATATACATATATATACATGTATATATATATAAATATACATGTATATCATATATTCATAGATGTATATATATATATATATATATATATATATATATATATATATACATACTTAAAATGCCATGAACAATTGCAGAAAATGTTACACATTTAAACAAGTTGGCAACCACATGTTTGTATCATGATACACATCTACGTTTGATTGTTGTTCTTATTTCCATTTGGCAGATAATCCGACTTTAATTTGTTTTGCACTTTAAAGATGTGATTTGCATCAACTGCAGTATACCTGCTAGCACAATGCTCTTGCAGTTCATTTGGATCATCATATTTTCCTCGTCTAAATCTCATCCTACACATGCTGTAAGGTGAATGATGCAGACTTGTGGAAAGACATGTTAACAATTACCCGCATGGTTCCTTATTATTATTTTTCTTCATACACAGATTTAGTATCCCAAACTTACTGATTTCTGCTGTTTAGATCAATAACCGAGTAACAAGCCTCATAGTAGTAAATATTTAAATATTTAACTTGTTTAAAGGCTTTTTCGTGTGTACCGACAGAGAAAAAGTAACATTCACTGTTTGTGCAATAGGAAAACATTAGTGCAGCAGCATGTTTCTTAACATCCTTTACATAATTCTCAAACATACATTATTATGATTCCTTTCAAAGTACATCCTAACCACAAATATTTAAGTCACATCAGTTTCCAAAGTGCTCCATCAGAATCTGTTGCCATATTGCATATGCTCCAGCATCGGCACTAAATATGGATATAAGAGTAGCATGCATCTTCTAAAGAAAATGTTTGAAGAGTGACTACGCAAATAAGCATTCATCAATTAGTGGATAATCCACTGTCTCATACAAGTAGTCACTGCTGAGTTCGGAACTGATGTACCAATCATTTTGAACTTGAGTATCTGGTGTTGAAATGATGTCTTGAAAATTCTCTGCGCCACCAAAACCCACATCCTCAAAGCAGCCAAACTTTTGGATAGAACATAGATGCAAATCAGCAGGCAATGAGTCTAATTCTGCCTCACTTTTAGGACTGAACTCGCATGTTAGAGGTAAACATTCTTGGTTGTCTATCTGTTCAGTGGAAAAGCCTTTTGTGTTTGGTGATCCATCTAATTTGCAAATTGCTCCAGCATCTTGAGAGTGTACCATTCCATGCTTGATCTGAAGAGATACTGAACCAGTCATGCATGCTACTGGAGGTATGACAGCAAAGTGGGCATTTCTTTGATCTGTTGGGACTGGTTTCATTTCACTCAGATCTTTCATATCCTTCTCGTTACTGACAGTGGCTGAGATGACTGGGGAGGATGAAGAAAGACTAAAAGAAACCTGATGATCTTGATCAGAACTCGACAAATACGAGTAGTCATCCAACATGGTGCAGTTTCCTTGGCCTGGGTAGTGCATGAATTGCATCCTTGGAGCTCCATCATGCAAAGTCTGGTGCTTTGGTGTTGTAGGTTCGCGTGCCTTTTCCTCAACACCTGGTGTCATGCCTTTGAAAGAAAACAATGCACTTAACTGAGGGACACTGTTGACATTCTGCGAGCTGGGAATATCACTGATCAGACCTTTCTCACTTTCAATCACTTGCACAGGCACTATTTTCTTTATATCACCGATATGAGCATCATCAATAATCCCTTGAACCAAATTCTCACTTGTCCCTACAAATTTAGTGTGTTCGCTACATTGTTGCATGTTTGTTGAGCTTGTGAGCTCAAAATTTGCCACATTGTCATTGTTTACGAGATCAGAAGGCATATTTCCACCTGAAGTGCTGTCTTCGCTCTGCTTTTGTAGTCTACTCAAATAAAGTCGATACTTCTGCATAAAGGATGTCACTTTAGAATCTCTACACCTGTTGTGGTGCAAGGATACATGTATTTCTGACGTGTTGAGACTGGAAGAATTTGAAATTAAGGGTAAATAATGAAGATACTTATGCTAGTCAACAAGACATTGACGCAAGATCTTATCAGAGATCCTATACATGAAGTGAGGAAAAGGAAAACAGGTATGAAAAGGAACTCTGCTATCTAATGCAGTTAACCAGACTACACTCCTGTTAATCTAGGAAAACTCATGGTGAAACAAGCTACCTGAAGATGGCTGGCAACATTTTCTCTTGTTAGCCCAGGGACATTCATCAAGTCAAGTATCTTCTTTGGCCCAACCTCTGCCGGAACACAATCACAGAAGTGTCATACAGCAGAAAGAACCTAAAAGGAATCATGAGAAGAATAGGTGCTATGAAAATAGTTGTAGACAGAAAATGCATGAAGCTATTAGCTCATACTCACTGTCAAGTCCAATCTGATTAACAGCATTCACAAATTTCTGATGAAGATCCACAGACCAAACAACTCTTGCTTTCTTAAGCCTAGAAGAATCACCGAACTCTTGATCACCAAATTCTTTATAGTCTACATCCTTCCTTTTCCTCGCAGAGCTGATGTTGGTTATTCCATCTGTCAAATTTCTGTCATCAAGATCTTCAGATCCGTATCTTAGAATGTTGATATCCTCATTGTTGTAATGAGTTTGTATTTCTTTCAACTCATGCATTTTCTTCCTGTAAACATGTTGCCATATATTCTTTAGCTCCTTCATTCTGACAGGCTTAAGAAGATAGTCACAAGCGCCATGTTGAACACCTTTCATCACCCTACTTGTCTCCCCATCAATAGACATCACTGCAAGGGTTTATGGAATAATACACTCTGAGCTCCGATTATGGCTTATAAAAGTGGAAAATAGAGGCTGTGGATATGAATAACTAACTTATTACAGGCAAATCCATTTCAAGTCCAACATGCTCAAGAAGCTTGAAGCCATCCATGTCAGGCATATTGACATCACTGATTACAATGTCAAATTTATCTTTTCGTTCACGAAGCATGCTCAGAGCATCAGTTGCTAAACTGCATGTAGTAACTGCTTTGCACAAGAAAAAAAAATATTTGGAAAACCTGTAACGTTAGTAATTAACATTTCCACCATTATAGTAATACACTATTTTTAAACAAAAGAGAATGATGTACTGAAACTTATTGATGAGAACAAGGTACAAATCATGTTATAAATCAAAAACATGATTCCAATATAGAAAATCTACATCAGAGGAAGATGCATAATCCTGTTCCCAATGAGGACTAACATGACCAAAGGAAATTGGACCAAAAAGCTTCTCTAAGAGTGTATTTTATGATGAATACCAATGATTTGCAGTAAAATCAAATATCTGAGTTCAAAAATAAAAAATAAAAATTCAGTAATGGAGTCAAAAGCAATAAAAACAAAAGGCTTTCTGCTGGAATGTACAGCCAAGAAGTCTGTTTTCTGGCAAGAATTCTTAAACTTCCTATATGTTAATTTTGATGCAATGTAATGCATTTGTTACAGTATCGGATGTTCAAACTCTTAATTTGCCTATATATCATAAGAACATCTGTCCATGGAAGCTCATAATTGCGTTCCAAAATTATCAGCATATTTTAGAACTGTATGTATTTCTTTCTCGTTCAACACTAATGCAAAATTTATCTAGTTTTCTGCTAGCTTATTCAATGGGGTAAGGATGTTCCACTGCAAGTACAACTTTCTTTCCAGGAGCCACAGTCAATTTGAAGAAACTATCTTGGGTACTATTTTCCTACCCGAAGTATGAATACAGTGCCCTAAAAGAGGATTCTAGCTAAATAATTATATGTGATCTAGTAAATCTGCAAATCCATAATAGGCAAGAAAGACTAAATAAATTGCTGTTACTCTTTAAATAATTATTTAAAGGTCCTCTTTAAATAAATTGCTGTTCCTCCAACTACGGTGATAACAGCAGCAGCAACTATGGGATCCTGGTTTGGTGGCTTTGCAAAATGAATTTATCTTAGATGCATATACGTTGGCAAAAATTATTATAGCTTGCTTGAAAAATTCTCATGATTCAGAAATTAAAAGACCTTCAAGCATTAATTACAACAAATCACCAGTCATACATATCAAAGCAACTTTTTAAGTGCCTAGTTTTCCTCAATACCTTTAATCATGTCAGCTTCCTCAAAAGACTAACCTTGTCGAGGAGACACAAACTGGTGGTAAAGGAATTGAATCTGATCAGCAGCTTCAGTCATTCGTGACCAAAGCCTTTGCTGAGAATGTGGAAGAAGAAAAACAAAATATTTTCTTCCTTGTTGGTGAACTGTCATGATTCATAATGCTGTTTGGCAGACCTCAATCACACAGTTGCTATGAAGTGATTTTGAGAACCAAAGCTATTGAAGAAACTTGAGCTACTCTAAGTGAAGAGGCATATGACATGGAGATCATTTCATGATATCTAATTCTTGTCACTTGAGAGTATTTCATGTTCCGATCGACCATAAGATTATAGCATATTTATTGTTTTGTTAGGGATCCAAAATTTTAGTCAAGCATGAACCTGCACAGGTAATCACAAAAAGTAGCATATCGTGACAAAAAAATAAAAAATCTTTCTAGTTGTTAGGTTTATTAGAAACAAATTATAATGAAAATTACAGAGAAATGCTTTGGTAATAAAGCAATGATGCTCTGGGACTGAAAAAAGCATCTTTTCTGCATACAAAAATCAGGAATAGAACAACCACAAGTGCAGTTTTCTAGCAGCCTCTTTGGGTTCCCAAATTAGGATCTTATCAAGACGAGAGAAACTATGTTTGGAACAAGTTGACATCCAATCACACTTGTTATATCAGCTAGAGGAAGTTCGAAGCCACTATCAACTCAAATTCACTTCAAAGTGTTCGTTGTCAATGAAATTCTGTCATACCCTTACCGTGCACAAATTCAAGAACAGGAAAAGTGAACCTAGAAATCACTAAAATATTAAAAAAAAATTCTCCTAGAAATAGTCACATATATACATCAAAAAAAGGAGCAGGCTTTCACCACTGCAAACACCGCTAATAGCAAAGAAAACTCACATTTAAAGCCAATCATAAACGCACTTTTTATCAAGCGAGAGAGAGAGAGAGAGAGAGAAATGCATAAGAAGAAGCTTGAAAGACGGGACGAAACTACCTTCATAGGAGCACTTCCTGAGCATCTTCTCAAGAATTTTTAACCAGGTGGGATCGTCATCAACAACCAGCACCCGAAGGCCAGCCGGGAAAGCTTCAGCTCGAGCGGACAACAGTGGACGTTCCATCGATTCCTACGGCAGTTCTCCGCGAGGAAGAAGGGCTTGGACTTTTGGGGATGTGTTTGGTTGAGGGAGGAGGAAAAGGAGAGTGGGAGTCTTCCTGTGGCACACTTCGATCACTCTGATAGAAAAAGGGAGGGTCCAAAGTGGAGAGCCTTTTGTACCGAATAATGGCGCCAGTTCGTTACCAGTCCCCTATGCCTCCCCTTTGGTTTAAGACTTCCGTTGCAAGTGTTGGCACATATAATGGCCACTAACTTATTTTTTGCCATTTTGCAATCATCATATAGGCTTCTAGGTGGGCACCTCTAAATAGAACCCACTATGTCAGTGTGCAATTACCATCGGTCAGGATGGTGCCAACACTAAAACGCATGTTTCCATTTAGTTGTCTATCTTGTACAAGTATGAAAATAACATATCTATATCCCTCCAAATATTTCAATCTTTTATATGTCAATGTTAAAATGAACTTTATTATTTTTACCTATTGTTTAACCCCTCATGTTTCTCAAGGTTTTTTTGAAAGGGTATTAGTGCCAATAAGAATTTTAATAATATTATTATTTTAAAATTCCAGGAATATATATGGTAAATTATTTAAAGAGGCAAATGTGAATTTCATTAGCTTAGGAGGGATATTTATTATTGATGTTTGAGGTTCATTTTCTCCTGTTCTTGGTCACTAAGAAATTATTATGTTTTTTATAATGTTTATTATTTATATAAAATGACTTGCAATTATTTCCATGATTAAATACGGAATTTATTTCTCGATTGTACCAGTAAGTGCGATTTCCACGAAGAAAGATCGATTTGGTACGGACGTAAAATTCTATGGACTTTGTTTTCGAGGATATGTATATTTATGAACTTATAGAAAGCATCCACGTATTCAGAAAGTTAAAAAGAATAAAAAACCCATTGTTTATACTCGTTGACTTTTTTGTGTTGCTTTTTATTCTAACAAGAAAAATATAGTCCTATATATAATGATTTCCTAGAAAGCACCAGGTTTTGTGTTTTTTTATTATCAAATCATGTCCCTCATTTCTAGAGTTCACAAAGACCACTTATTCTCTTTGTAAAAAAATCACCATACCTATCAAAATCCAGCTTCAGCTAAATTAATTCAGTAATTCCAGTGTTCTTTAAGTAGAGTTATAGTGTTTTTGATTTATAATATTTTTGAATAGAGTTGTAGTATTTTTAATTACTGAATAAAAAACACTATAATCAGATAATAATTCCTCATTATTTTTACTATCATTTCTTTATAATAAATAATTATAAATATTATGTATTTTTAAAATTTTAAGATAGTGAAGTAAATTAAATTTTTATCACCATTTTTTGAAATATGTCAAGACCTTCATAATTTTCTAACAAATTCGTTTAAATTCTCATAATAATTAACGATAATATATTATAACTCAATTTAAAAATATTCATGATTATTTTTTATTATCATTCTTTTTAATAAATAAAATAAATATTTTTTATAAATGATATGTGATAAAAGATGAAATTTGATTATAGGACTTTAGCATGATCTAACAAAGTCTTTGGGAACTAAGGTATCTAACATATTCAGAACATATTTGATAAGAATTTAAATCTTCAACCTTTAGTCGCTGAGTCTAATATACCATCATTATACTAATGTTTAAAGTATCAAAATAATTTTTTATATAGGGTAAAAAGGTAATAAAACAAATATTATATTATTTATTTTATAATATGTCAAAATATTTTAATTTTTATTTAAAATATTTAACAACTATTAAATAAAAATATTTTATAGATATTTAATAGATATAATAAGATTAATAATTAATATTTATAAGAATTTGAATTAATTAAGATCGAGTGATAATATTTTTTAAATAATATTATGGTTAAAAAATACTATAAATCTACTCAAAAATATTATAATCAATTCGGTTAAGTCAAAAATATTATAAATATTTTTTAAAACATAATCAATTCAGTTTGACATCAAATTGATTTTGACAAGTCTAATTGGATTTTGATGGAAACTCAAAAATTAAAATCATTAATGAGAATACTTGTATCATTTTAAAAAGTAAAGATTCTTCTTAAGCATTTTACAAATGATGAGCTCTGGGAAAGAGGCAAGATACTTTTCCTACGGAATCACCCATAAATAATCATTAATAGAATCTAAGATTAAATATGTACACAGGAATTTTTATGTTCTTTACATGTAGAAGGAAGATCCCGCTATATTAACCAGTTTAAAATTCAAAAATCTCACATGCTGAAGCCTCTTGCAATAAAACAGGACTATATATTTTCTAGTGCTTTCCAGTACTGGAACTGAATTTGGAGATATCTGGAGAGAAGACTGTTCGTATATTTTGCCATTATTTGGAATTCTAACAAAGCTATAGGACAAATGATAAAGATTAGATGATATATAATGAATTTAAGATTAAAGGTTAGATTTCGTTGGTATATGGATCATTAGAATCCCGTAGGCGTTGACTATAGTATTCGTCTTTATGAGAGAAGATATATAATTATTAATATATTTTAATATCGAATTGATATGATACGAATAGTATGTATTGATTGGAACATTAATTGATATATAGATTACAATATCACCTCGTTTTGGATAGTCTAATTAAAATAATAATAAAATAATAAAATCCTATCCAACTTAACATAAAAAATAAATAAATAAATTAGGTCTCACAAATGGGAGTTCTCTGTCATCTCGTCGCTATCACTGTTTCTCTAACTTCGTTGCTACCACTTCGACATTGGTTGTCATTATTGTTTTTCATCTACTTTTTTATTCTTCCTTCTTTTTTTCATCATTTTTTTTCCCTCCTTCATCCTTTATTCCCCATTATTATTTTTTAATCAAAATATCAATATATCATATTGGTATGTATTAATCTGATAGATCATTGATACAAGTCCGATATCCAAAATAATAATAATTTTTAATCAGAACATTATATTTGTTTTGACATGAGTTTAAAAAATATATATGTCGCCAAACTCCTACTACTGTTTATGTTATGATCTCTTAAGATATTTTTTAGGTTGTCTTTTATCTTCTTGCAAAGGAGGTGCTGTGTTTATGGTGTGACATGATTCTGTGAGATTCGACATTGTCGATGGCCATTCCATGTGTCACTTCGACCTCTTGGCACTCAGTTTGGTGCACTTTGGGTGGACTCAGTAGCTTTCAATCATCATGTTTACATGATGCAAAGGTTGCCATTAAAGGGTTCTCTTCAGCTTCTGTTCTTGGCTGCCTCAAGAAGGTTCCAAACAATTCTAACCTATCCTATTTAATAATTCCAACCTGCTCTCATGAATCTATTACTTCTGGTAAAGGAATTGTACTTCTGATTCGTACCTGTTTTGGGATTCTACTCAATTGCCATTTTGCATTCAACCTTTCTCACTGGCCTTTGAGTCATTCGAGGAAAGGATTTAATTATGACAAACCGGTTATTATTATTTAGATTTGATCAATGTGTCCAGGGAAAAAAGAAAATAGAAATAGATTACTCTCTTTTGATGCAAATAGCCTAGCAGTGACTGAGTTCTAATAGATTAGTATCTTATACTGTGAAGCAGCTCCAATGACAAGGATTATATAAGGCTTTGCTGGAGGGTGTTTCCTATTTGCATACTGAGGACTCTATTCTTTTGGTGAATATTTTGGATAAGAAAAATGTTCCATCTCATGCAATCATTGAACGCAATTAAGGACATTCAAGTTTTGAGTTTTGATTTTTTTTTTTCTTGATGTTTTCGTAATCCATGTTGCAAGGAAGGTAAGAGGGTTACTCATAAGCCACCAATTTTACTAGGAATACAAAAATATTATATTTTAAAAAGAGAGTTATTCCTTTATTTTTTTCTCACTCATATGATAAAGGTGAAAACCATCGTAGATATAATTTTAAAGGTTTTGACGAGTTTTGATGAGTACATTTTATTTTTACATTGATTAAGGAGTGACAAAATATGATTTTATAAGTATTAGAGTCATCACTATCTATAGAAACACCATTTTGTCACGGACAAACTTCTAAACAAGGTGTTTGATGTAATGCTTATATCTGTCCGTGTCTGTTGGCATGTTCATGCCTTGTACAGAATGTAAAGGGGCGGCCGAAGGCTTAATAGTCACATTTTAGTTGGGTTGGTGGCCTCTTTAGGCTTGCAAATAAAGGTTGTGTCATGTGGACACGTGCGAGAGCTTTTCGGTCTGTAATGGACCATTTTACCCTTTGTTGTGCCACTGTTCAGAGCTTGTAAAGTCTGTTTGTAATTTGCATTGTCTATGAAGTGTTTTTCGGAGATGTTTGCTTGTGGATCCCGATTGAGGCGTTCTCTCTTGCCCGTTCTCTCTTTTGTTGGTCCTAAGGGACAATGGGAGTCTTCGGGGAGGCTGACCTTTGTGGACGGACACGCAAGGGTGCCGCACGACTTAGGCAAAACCAGCTAAGTCCGTGTCATATGGTATCAGAGCGGGACAAGCACTCATAGAAACACTTGACATGCAAACGTGGGGGACCTAGCGGGGCTGCGTTGAGGGCAGTCAGCACACGCACGACCGTTAGAGGGAAAACGGGCATGGAGATGTAGGGAAAAGAGTCGCTCAGAGGAGCGGGCATCTGAGATTGGCATTCAGAGGAATGGCCAACCCTTCGCGCAAGAGGCACCACGAGAACAAG